TATTTTTATCTGCAGTATATGCTACCTATTTTTATCAGCAGTATATTAAAACCCTGTATCTCCATTTTAGGAAATACATTTATACGATTTTTTCTACTTATTTTTATCTGCAGTATATGCTGCCGAAGTTTCCGCAATACAGTTCGGACCACCCTGTTTGTCAACAGATAAAAATCCGATATAAATATAAATCTTTAAATAAAAATAATGGGGCGAAGAAATCTGTATATTTAATGAACTACTGTAACCATTCTATAATAATGATTATGCGATCTTCTTGAATAAACTTTTTTAATAAATAATTGCCAAATTATGCCCCAAGTCGAAGAAAAAAAAGGGCGACCACCGGAGCCGGCTTAATTGATAGGGTAGATTAATAAATTTAAAAAAAAATGGTAAATCCCGAAACGGAGATGCCACATTTGTGGTGCCTTCATCCTGACCAAGCAGTGAAATTGACACAAGCAGATGTGTATGCTTGATAACGTTTACTACATTTTTTCTAAAAATTGTTATATCTATATAGGTATTTATGTCTATACTAGTGCGACATGGCATTAACTTCATTTATTAGTTTTAGTAATCCTTGTAAACTTGGACCTTTTTGTAGGTATTGTCCCAAATATACTTATTTGCTAATTATTGTTATATTATATGATTCTGATGATACTGTTACGTTTTTCCTCGGTTCCGTGTGGATAGAAAGTTACAATTTATTTAATATAATAATACCTATATAGGTATTTATGTATATACTAGTGCGACATGGCATTAACTTCATTTATTAGTTTTAGTAATCCTTGTAAACTTGGACCTTTTTGTAGGTATTGTTCCAGATATACTTATTTACTAATTATTGTTATATTATATGATGCTGATGATACTGTTACGTTTTTCCTCGGTTCCGTGTGGATAGAAAGTTACAATTTATTTAAACACAATTTATTTAACATTAATTAACAAAAACAATAACGATAAAAGACTTAAAGAACTATTTACAAACGATTTATAACTATTTATCTAGAAAGGATTTATTTTGAATTTTAGCGCGTCAACTGTACTCGTCTATTTATGTCTGTCTTCGTCAGGCCCTAGCCGTCGGATTTTATACCCACAGCTAAAGAGTTTCTCGAATAGTCCATAAATCATTAGGTGCATAGAGAAGGTTTCGAATGTTCTCGTATGTGCTACTCCATACCAGTGAAACTCGTTTTTTCTCGAACGTTCGAATGGATCATTACGGTGTCTATTCTTTAGGGTACATTCAGGGTGAAAGCGTCGAGCGTCCGCCCCATTGAACTCGACCACCGACGCTCAGCGGACGCTAGCGCAACGCCAAACGCGACGCTGTCTGCCTGAACGGTCTAATTTAAGTTAAGAGAATTGATTCCATTTCGACACGCGGACGCGACGCAAACGCGACTCGACGCTCTCAGCCTGAATGTACCTTTAATGCGTGGTTAAGGTCATCTGAGGGCGGGACATATAGTTAGGTTAGGTCGAGTCCACACGGGTCCGCAACAATACTTGTCATAGCAGGTAAATATTTTTCATACTTTAGTACCTTACTTGCAGAGCTGCAACTAGTTAGTTTTAAAAAGACTTATATGTTAAGTCAATTCCAATTTCCAATATAAAGATGAGATAGTTTAAATGTTCAGTTTTTGACTTAAATAATTTTCTTTCTCATTAAGTCGTTTCCGGAATGTCTTAAATCAATATAACTTAATTAAAATAATTTTTATGACTTTAGTCGATATTTTTTATTTAAAATTACAATTCAAAATAATTACACTCAAATCAAGACAAATTTAAGTACCTATGCCTATATTAAAGGCTAATATTAAATTGTATAAACTAAAAATCGTTTTTATTTCATAAACTGTTTCAGAAACTTTTTCTAAAGTTATTTTTGAAATGTTTCCATAGGATTATACGAAATATGAGTATTAGAGCACAAACGCACTGACGCATGACGACCAGGTCGCAGCGATCAGGCTCCGACCAATATTAACAATTAACATTAACTCAAATTCTGGTCGCTGCGACCTGGTCGTCAGTGTGTTTAAGCTCTTAACAACATAATGCAGCCGCTTATGAAATTTAATCGATATCAATACATATCCTCATATCCATTAAAAGTGGTAATTCTATACAGGGTGGTCTGAACTGTATTCCGGAAACTTCGGCAGCATATTCTGCAAATAAAAATAAGTAAAAAAGTTCGTATAAATGTATGTCCTAAAATGATTACTTTCGGAGATACAGGGTGTAGAAGTTTCATTTATATTTCGATTTTTTCCAAATAATTTCTGAAGTGACGTCAATATCTGGATAAAAATTGGTGTCTGGGAGTTTTTTGACATGATAAATTTAATTTTGATGTCAATATGACTCCTATTGTAGATGGAGCCCCCCTGAAATCATACGAATGTATAATAGATGGACTAATCATATACAGTGATTTATTTTTGACCCAAAAACATCAAGTATTAATTAACATTATACAGGGTGGTCCGAACTGTATTCCGGAAACTCGGGTGGCATATTCTGCAGATAAAATTAGGTAAAAAAGTTCGTATAAATGTATATCCTAAAATGCTTAGTTTCGGAGATATAGGGTGTAGAAGTTACATTTTTATTTCGATTTTTTTCCAAAAATAATTTCTGCAGTATCGTCAATATTTGGATGAAAATTGGGAGTTTTTTGATATGAGAAATTTGCTTTTGATGTCAATATGACTCCTATTTGTAGTGGGCGCCACCTACATGTGAATTAACTGTTTTGAAGTGTAATAACTTTTTGTCCCTACCTATATAAAAAAAACTACTGAGTAAAAAATATACATTTCCTTGATTTTATACGTAAAAAATGTTCGCTACGAGCAACCGTTCTCAAGATATTTGGAATAGAAATAATCAATATATTTCATTATTGACAAAAAATGAACATGTTGAGTAGATAGTTATTTCACTGAAATGGTAAATTTGGGAACTTTTTATTTTTTTAAATTAATCATAAATTTTTCTTCGAAAAAATTACGATAAAACAGTTTCTGTTGAACTTTTGGCACAAAAACATTTCGAATTTACGATTTTAGTGTAGTAACTATTTAGTCAACATGTTTAATTTATGTCAATGATGACAGGTATTGATAAATTTGGTTAAGAGACCTTTTCTACGTAAAAAACTTCGTAAATGTATATTTTTTTACTCAGTAGTTTTATACAGGTACGGACAACAAGTTATTACTCTTCAAACCTGTTAAAAAATATGTAGGTGGCACACTCTACATAAGTAGGAGTAATATTGACATCTAAATTAAATTTCTCATGTCAGAAAATTCCCAGACAAAAATTTTCATCCAAATACGACATTAGTTCAGGAAAATGTAAGAATAACATTTTTTGTTAAATTTCGCCACCGTTGTAGCATGATGTGTAATATATGTAATGTTACACAACTTTTTCTTCAATAAAGACGATTATTATTATTATTATTTAATTATTTTGAAAAAATCGAAATGAAAATGAAATTTTTATCTGCAGAATATGCTGCCGAAGTTTCCGGAATACAGTTCGGACCACTCTGTATATCAACAGTATAAATCTTTAAATAAAAATAATAGGGCGAAAAAATCTGTATAATTTAATCCAAACCAAACCAAACCAAACCAAACTACTCTGTAACCATTCTATAATAATCATATTCGATCTTCGTGAACAAACTTTTTTAATAAATAATTGCCAAATTAAAAATTATTTATTTTTAATAAATAATTGCACAAGTCGAAGAAAAAAAAAGGGCGATCAAATTTAAAAAGAAATGGTAAATTCCCAAACGGAGATGCCAAATATATGGTGTTGGCCTTATCCTGGACAAGTTTTACGCAATGAAATTGACACAAACAGATGTGTATGCTTGTTAATGTTTACTAGAGTTTTTGTAAAAGTTGTTATACCTATTTTTTATAGTAGGTATTTATGTCTACTAGTGCGACATTATTCTATACAGGGTGGTCTGAACTGTATTCCGGAAATTTCGGCAGTATATTCTGCAAATAAAAATAAGTAAACAAGTTCGTATAAATGCTTAGTTTCGGAGATACAGGGTGTAGAAGTTTCATTTTTATTTCGATTTTTTCCAAATAATTTCTGAAGTAACGTCAATATTTGACATAAGAAATTTAATTTCGATGTCAATATGACTCCTATTGTAGATGGCGCCACGTACATGTGTTTTAACTGTTTTGACGAATAACAACTTTTCGCCCATACCTGTATAAACACTACTGAGTGAAAAAATATACCGTGATAATATATCGTGATTTTTTACGTAAAAAATGTCTCTTGGTAAAAATCGCTACGAGCAACCGTTCTCAAGATATTTAGAATGTAAATAGTCAACATCTACATGTCATTATTGACAAAAAATAAACATGTTGCGTAGATAGTTATTTGAATGAAATGATAAATTTTGGAACTTTTTATCTTGTTAAATTAATCTTAAATTTTTCTTCCAAAAATTATGATAAAACATCAGTTTCTGTTGAACTTTTGTATTTATTTAGTATAATTTATAACTATTAAGTCTAATAACTATTTAGTTAACATATTATATTTTTTACCTTACCTTTTTTACGTAAAAAACGTCGTAAATGTATATGTTTTTACCCTATAATTTTATACAGGTACGAACAAAAAGTTATTACTCTTCAAAGCAGTTAAAAAATATGTAGGCAGCGCCCTCTACAAATAGGAGCCATATTGAAAACAAAATCAAATTTCTCATGTGAAAAAACTCCCAGAAACCAATTTTCATTCAAATATTGACGTTCCTTCAGAAATTATTTGGAAAAATCGAAATAAAAATGAAACTTCTACACCCTGTATCTCCGAAACTAAGCATTTTAGGACATACATTTATACGAACTTTTTTACTTATTTTTACTTGAAGAATGTGCTGCTGAAGTTTCCGGAATACAGTTCGGACCACCCTGTATAGTTATTGCTCTATGACATAGTGTTTTAATTATACCTCTTTTGGTTGCTTCAGAATGGTATAATGTATGAGAATTTGAGAGTCAGTAAAATTATATGGTGGCTTTTAAGAATTACCAGGTTAGTTAAAAAAACTCTGACTATCAAAATCACAAATCATTTTGAAAATTACCCCGTATGTGTATTCTGACTTTTAAACCAGTTTTCGAGGAATTACTTTACTTAAGTTTTCTGGGAGATTGCCGCACTGCTTGTAGGGTATTTTTAACTTCAATAAACTATTTACTGAACTAGTATTAAACTCATTTACTTAAAATACAAATATTGATAATTTTGTTTGTATTTTAGGTTTAATTCCGCAGATCCAACTAATGAAAATCTAGAAAATGCGATGAATTTCGAACATTTATCTGAAAAATATACTTGTGAATCGTGTAGTTACCAGTATACTGCCAAAATTCTCTTAAAAGAGCACATCGTCAAAGTACACGCTCATGACTATCGCTTTTTCTGTCAGTTTTGTGGAAAAGGTTTTTCCTTGGAATGTCGCAGGAGAGAGCACGAGAAGAGAGTGCATACCAAAACGACTCCCAAGAGAGAAATACCATGGGTTTGTGACGATTGTGGCAAAGTACTTGCTAATCAATATATTTATGAGGGACACAAAATTATATGCCACCCAAGCGAGATAAATTGTTACTGTGTTAAATGTGGTAAAGCTTTTCCATCGCTAAGTTATTTACAACAACACGACCTTGCCAATCATTCCGATAGAGAGCCATTTTTTTGTTCGGAAACCGATTGTGGAAAGATATTTAAAACTAAATATAACTTGAAGATGCATAAGCTCATTCATGATAAAAACCGGCAGTTTGTTTGCGGACATTGCGCTAAAGTATTTATTCACGTTGCCTCTTTTAAAAGACATTTGAAAGAACATAAAGAAGGAAAGAAATTATATCAGTGCGAAGTTTGTTTGAAAACCGTTACTAGCAACGATAGTTTAAAAATTCATATGAGAATACATACCGGAGAAAAACCGTTTAAGTGTTCTTATTGCGAAAAAGCTTTTGCATCGAAATTATTGCTGAAAACTCATATAGTCGTGCATACTAAGGAAAAGAGATATGTTTGTCGGATTTGTGATAAAGGATTTACTCAGCGAGGAACACTCAGAGTTCATTTCTCAAAGAATCATCCTTCTGAAGTGTTATAGTTAAAAACAGACATGTACAGGATGGGTCAAATTCGACGCTTTTAAATGGAAACACCCTTTTCTATAGGAGATAGACGAAAACTAATATCGGAGCTCAATTTTCATCAAAAACATGATGGTGAAAACCGCACATCAATATCTGTTACCGTTTTGGAGTTACGGGGTGTTTTTCAAAAATGTGCATTTTTAACAAATCGCTGTAACTTTTTTGCTATGGAAAATTTTGTATTTCTATGAAAACATTTCCAAAGCACCTTTTTACGTAGAATATAATGGTTTAAGTATAACTTTTTTAAAATTAATAGGGATACCCTCTATATTTTTAATTAACTGAAAAGAATTTAAAATTACGTTTCCAAAAATATAGCACACTTGATATTTTGTTATAATTCCCTTCGAAATACAGAATTTTTAAAAGTTCGCCACTTTTAACTAGTAGGCTTTGGACCCCTTATTGATGATATGCCCTTAATGGAACTCAAAAACATATTTTTCCAGCAAGACGACGCACCGCTTCTGAGCGCTGAAGTTATCAGCAAATTTTTGCATCCAATTTCAACAATAATTGAATAGCTAACCAAGATTCGAGCCGTTGGCAGTCGAGGCCGCCTGACTTAGTGCCCATGGATCTATCCTATGGATATATTTGCGGAAAAATAAAGGTTCCTTATTCTTCCTTATAATCTAGATAAGAATTAGAAATCTTAACAGTTATGAGAGGGTATCTTTCACCCCCACTGAGTTAATGAATTCCGCGAGAAATGTTCAAAAACTGCCCCTTCTGTCCATAACAGAAGACGGTCGATATGTCGAACACCTGTAGCAAAATCTCATGTCTTGGTTTGCTATTTAGTTTTATTGTTATTAGATATAGTTTAAATGTGTGTTGATGTTGGTTAAATATATTTTAAATAGTTATAAAATTCTGAATATCTCATAGCAAATATTATTTTCGTTTTAATTGATGCTCAAAGCTAGATTTTTTTGCATTACAGCCGGTGCCTTTCAAAGCCTACTCATTTAAAGCGGGCGAATTTTTATATACTCTATATCTCGAAGAGGAATCGAGCAAAATATCAACTGTGTTATATTTTTGGAAAGGTAATTTTAAATTATTTTCAATATATTAAAAATATACAGGGTGTCCCATCTAAAAAAACAAATTTTCTGTTGATAACTCTTAAATTATTAATTTTAAAAAAATTATACTTAAACCATTAAATTCTACGTAAAAAGGTGCTTTGGAAATGTTTTCATAAAAATACAAAATTTTCCATAGCAAAAAAGTTACAGCGATTTGTTAAAAGTGCATATTTTTGAAAAACACCCCGTAACTCCGAAACGCTAACAGATATCGATATGCGGTTTTCACCATCATGTTTTTGATGAAAATTGAGCTCCAGACACCGATATTAGTTTTCGTCTATCTCCTATAGAAAAGGGTGTTTCCATTTAAAAGCGTCGAATTTGACCCACCCTGTACAGTACGTCTGTCCGTTCTGTAGCTACGGGGTTTCCGTGAGAGGGGAAACGATATTCTCTCGATGTTTTTCGTCAAAAAAAAAAGACGACGCGTCCCATCAATAAAAATTCAACAAATTTGCAAGTAGCCAATAAAATGAGTGGTCGGAGCGATTTGCGGTGACGCACTCGTCAAATCGACGTATAAAATATATTGCTGTTTATTTAAATGTTTTTTTGTCCGCATTCCTTTCATAGACACAGATCCAGCAGATGTACTGTATATTATACCGGGTGCGTCTCAAAAGTGGCTCACCCCTATAACTTTTTTATTTTTTCAAATAAAACAACGAGATTTGGTATGTTAGTATATGCCATAAATTGGGATTGATTGACGTATTCAATTGTCATCGGTCACTTCCGGTTTCACCGGAAATGACCACAACTTTTGATTTTTAAATGGCACCCTCGATATTTTTTTACTTTATTCGATAGAAAATGACACTCTGAATCGAATGACATATCATATGTCAACGTTTGACATTTTGGCATATGGTTTATTTGAAATTGTAACATGCGGTTCATAACGACAATTTGACTCAAAATACCAAGTGTGTGGTATCAAATTATTCGTAAAAAAATGCTTTTTTCAAATATGCTAATGAGCCACCCTCGTTCCATTTGAAAAAATTGAGATATTATTAAAAATACGATTTGGGCATCTTTTAACCGGCCAGGACAAGACACTAAAAACATTAGACGACCAAATCTATTTTTTCAAGGCTCCTTGATTAAAAATTAGTGTTTTTAACACAGTCATGGCACTCCAGATTAAAATTTAAAATAGAATTTGTTTTTGAGTCATTCGATTCAGAGATATTCGTTTTTAAATAAGACATTAACGATCTACATAAATTTTAATATTGATTTTGTGTCTTCATCAACACACCTATAAAATAAATAATAATGTTTACTGTTTTTGTAATGTCACTGTCATTGAGAAGTTATATTATTATTATTGTTTATTGGCGTTTACACTATAGTAGAGACAGTTTTAAGTACGAAGTAGCGACTATTGCTGCTTTAATTGATCATGGCAGAGATCAACTTTTGGACTTAAAACCATATCTGCTAGAGTAACTGCAAAACAGACAATAATAATATATTTTTTCAAAGACACGGACATTACCTAAATCTTTATTTTATGTTGCTTTTATTTTTGTTTTATTTTGCTTTTGTTTTTATTATAATTAAAATGTATAATCCTACAGTCTTGTTTTATAATCCTACAGCCGGCATTTCATCAGCCGACTATTTTTATTAAAAATAAAAATAGTTTGGGTACCTATAGGTCGACTCAGCCTTCAATCAGTATTTGGGATTCACAATCCTGAGGTAATAATAGGCAGTTGAAGCGTAGTGTTAGCCACATTACCTTCCTTGTATACCGAACGGCTCTAGCATGGCAAGCTGTACCTTGCTACTCCCAAGGCGTTAAACGCTATATACGGGAGCTATTATTATATATTTTACTATAATTTTGTTTTCCCTTGTATAATTTAGAGATGGGAACTTTCATTTTTAGAAAGATGTACTAAAAAGTCAAATAGTTTAGCTACAAATTGCATAAAAAATAACCAAAATCGTCCACTAGAATATAATATATAAAACTTTAAAATACTTGAAAATTTTAAGGTGCCTGTTTTTCGTGCCGGTGAGTGTAGTAAGTTTTATACATTTTTTTAAAATTTTTTCTATTATTGAAATTAATACGAAAATTTAAGCCGATTTTTGAGAAATATAGACTAAAAAAAGTTGGTTTTCTCTAATTTCTTTATCAATAGAAGCTCCACTAACAGCGCTTTCAGATGGAGCGGTCCTTCGTGTTTTTTCAAGATGTCCGTCGACGAACTCATCCGGACGCAGCATACGCGACCCATGTGAAATTGTTCATATAAACTCAGGGTACTTGCTCGAAGTCGCGGACGCTCCGCTCCACCTGAAAGTGCTGTAATTTAGATTTATGTGCATCGTTGAAGTTTCCATAAAAACTCTCTATTAAGGAGATTTTATGTTGTTTTGTCGAACTAATTTTGCATTTGTTTTTTTATAACAAATATATTTTTTATGTATTAATGAGTTTATTTTTCAAATCCTTTAAATTTGTAGTTGTAGGTATTTATTACTCGTATATCTTGCAGAATCCACGTTACTGTCGGAAATTCCCAGTTATCACAAGGAAAGAAGAAATCTAAAGTACCTAACTCTAAATATTCCTTTGAATGCAGTATTTGTGGAAAATGTTATGGGACTAAATTAAAATTAAGCCAACATAAAACTTTGCACAGAGACAAAACCCATTTATGCGATCTCTGTCCAAAGAAGTACAGATTTGCATACATGTTAAAGAAACATCAACTGAATACCCATCAGGATAATGCCAGGGTGAAATGTGATATATGCGGAGGCCAATACTGGACTAAATATGCTCTTAAAGACCATATTAAATTTGTCCACCAGAAATCGTTCGAATACAATTGCAACGAATGCAATAAAGGGTTTCGGAGCAAGAATAGCCTTATACAACACGAAAAAACTTTCCATAAAGGTCTCAAGTTCAAATGCGAAATTTGCCTGAAACCTTTTCTTACTGAAAAAGGGCTGTCCTCGCACATCGATAAACATAATCCCAATTTCAAGATTCCAGAGCACGTGTGTGACATTTGTGGCAAAGTTTTTGTCACCTCACAAGCCTACAAGAAGCACAGGGTCGAGCATCTCGAGGGGCCGATGATGTATGTCTGTGAATGTTGTGGAAAGGCAGTTACAACTGCGAGCTCTCTGAAGGACCACATGAGAATTCACAATGGCGAAAGACCTTTTAAATGCGATGTCTGCGAAAAGACTTTTATCAGATCGGGAATGCTTCGAATTCATTATAGGGTGCATACGAAAGAGAAACCCTACGTATGTAAGATTTGTCTGAAAACATTCACTCAAAGAGGTTCTCTAAAAATACACATGAGGCATCATTCAGGCGAACGACCTTATGGTTGCGTCAGATGTTCTAGAAAATTTATCAGTAAAACTTTGTTGGACAATCATTCGTGTCCAGTATCCAACTAATGGCGAGTATGACGAATCATGACATATACAAGGTGTGTTAAGTGTTACAGCACAATAGCTCAAAATCGTTTTATAATATTTACATATATCAAACAGAGTGGGTCGTTTTACCTAGTGATGAGCGAGAATGGTCTTGGTCTTGCACAGCAAGCACAAGCCAGTACAAGACTTCCGCAAGACCAAGACCAAGCATGCAAGACTCTTGCAGTCTTGCATTTTTTGCAGTATTAAATAAGTGCAAATATTTTTAGGGCTAGTATATTTCGACCCAGAAACACGATTACAAGGTTTTTTTAGCGAAAAAATTTTTTGGAAAAAAATTGTATTTTTTTTAGTTTTTAGTTAAAAACATAATTTCTTCATAATATGGCAACATATGTGGTAGATTAAATATACAAGAAAACAAAAACAGAAAGGATCCAGAGGTTCTCAAAGTTTAAGCAAAAAATCATTTTTTTCTAAATTTTCAAAGTAAGTTGTTTTGGGCTTATTTGAAAAACGGCAAAGAGAAGATATGTTTCTTTTATCGAGATCTAGCAGACCTGAAAATATTTGCACTTATTTAGGACTTACCCTTAGGGTGGATCAAAAAAATCGACTATTTTTTTTCACTTTATACTGTGAAAAAAGGTTCGTAGATACCTCAAAAATTTTCTCTCCAAGTATGAGCTCTTAATCTTAATAGGAAAATCCTCGGCCTTTCAGTTTTTTATTTTTTCTTTATTATTAGAAAGAAAAAAATATATCTCGGTATCTACTATTTGGAAAAAAATATCTCGTCTCATATATTGGTAGGACATTCTCTACAAAAAAAGGTCTTCGGACTTAGAGAGAGCGTTGTAAGACAATTGTATGCAGCAAATTCTTTTTTGTGTGGGTTGTTATAACTCTGCTCTGCCATATTCTTGTAAGACGCGTTCTGGCAGTTTTTGCTAACTGCATTCTGCGTCTAATTTCTATTTTACAATTATTATTTATTATGTTCTTTTATAACATGTTTTAAGTATTGAAATTGTTCGAATTATTAATCAAAAACTGTTAAAATTGTTGTTCATTGCTCTCAATTCTTGTTTTGTCATTTTTTTTGTAGTAATTCAGTAAACGTAGTAAATTTCTGGAAATATTCTTGATACCAAAAATGTTGAGCTATTAAGTATCTTCTGATATTGTACCCCGTAACACAAACTCACCTTGTATTATTTTATTATATTATTAATACTAATTTATTTTTAGAGAAAAGACTACATTGGGATTAAATTCAAGGAATTGTACAGAATGCAAAATATGCTTTAACTCAAAATATCAATTACTTAAACATAAAAAACAAGTTCATAGTAACGAGGTGTTTTCCTGTGAGATATGTCTAAAGACTTTCGCAACAATGTTTGTTTTAAAGAGACACAAACAAAGAATCCATTATTCGGATCGACCTTATTTTTGCGATTTTTGCGACAAAAGATTTCCATCGGTGCAAAGAAAAACTGCACACGAAAGGACGAATCATTTGAAAGCGAAATTAGTAGGTATATGCAATTGTTGCAACAAAAGCTTTTTCAGCAAAGTTTCCTTAGAACGACACCTGCAGCTTTCGGCTGAATCGAGGAATTCTAAAAACGAAAAATATAATAAGACAAAGACAGATTTGAAAGAATATCCTTGTGAAATCTGCGGAAACGTGTTATCGACTATTCAGTCGTATAAAAGACATAAGCAGAGACACGGCACATCTAAAGTATCAGTGGTATGTAACGTTTGTGGAAAAACGATTGTTAGAGACAATATCACGATCCACATGCGACGTCATACGGGAGAAAAGCCTTTTAAATGTGACCGCTGCCCGATGGCTTTTGTAAGAAGTTCTTTACTAGCCGAGCATAAACGGGTGCATTCCAACGAATCCCCTTATCAGTGTTTATATTGTCAGAAAAGGTTTACAGTAAAGAGTGCATTAAATAAACATATTATTTACCATGAGGGAATCAAATCGCATCAGTGTCAGGTTTGCTTGAAACGTTTTTATCAAAAGTATGAAGTTAAGAGGCATAAATGCACTGGCCCATCTAACCAAATTTAACTATCTACTTATACAGATATAGAAGGAATGCGCATATTTTAATTATTGAAATTTAAACCGCGTGGCAGAGCTGCAAACTCACGAAAAACTTAAGTCGTTTTTCGAAAGCTGACTTAAAATTCAAGAAATTTTCAAAATGATTTGTGATTTAAATTTTTATTCGGAAATAGGAAAAGAATTAAGTCATTAAAGAAAGGTTTGAATCTTTTAAAATATTTAATTCTAATAATTAAAATCCTCCAGCCCTTAGCTTATGTTATAGTGATCAAAACATGTTACCACTTTTTAATGGACATATATTCAATGACATCTAAACTGTAATGGGATATGTCGCAGGCAAGGGTGGATGGGGAAGTGGAAACCGGCCCGGAAAAAACAGGCAACCGGCCCAAATCCACAAAAACAAAATGACCATAACGAAGAAACATATTTTATTTATTAATATTTAAATAAGGGTGCTTTTTGCTCGTGCGAAAAACACTTTTGCCTCCGGATTTTAAAGAAAGACATTAATTGTCTTGATCAAAATTTTCGTAAAGACCAATATTGGGTCGGACATCTCAATTTTTACTACAAAATGGCTCAGTTTTACAAGGTTCTACTGCTTTATTTCCATTATCGATAACGGTAATTTGATCTTGAATAGGCTATGATCTTGAGTCACGATTTTGAGAAACTTTAAGACTTCCTGATTCATTCAGTTCACATAACAACAGATGATTATTAAAATTATAAGTGTCCAAGAGAAAGACATTTTACAACAGTAATTTTACAAATTGGTGTTTATATTTAAAAGTAACTGACGATTATACTGATGCAAATTGATTAGTTAGTTATGGAGTCACTAAGCACCTTACGTCACTTTAGTTAGAAGATTAACCATTTAATTTTTGCTAATCCAATCTTTTTTTGAGCTCTGATCGGGCAGAATCTGCAGAAAAAAAATAAGTAAAAAAGTTCGTATAAATATATGTCCTAAAATGCTTAGTTTCGGAGATACAGGGTGTAGAAGTTTCATTTTTATTTTGATTTTTTCCAAATAATCTCTAAAGTAACGTCAATATTTGGATGAAAATTGGTGGATGGGTGTTTTTTTGACATGAGAAATTTGATTTTGATGTCAATATGACTCCCATTTGTAGGTGGCGCCACCTACATGTGTTTTAACTGTTTTGAAGAGTAATAACTTTTCGTCGGTACCTGTATAAACCTACTGAGTAAAAAAATATACATTTGAGACTTTTTTTGCATATAAAAGGTCTCTTGGTAAAAATCGCTACGAGTAATGGTTCTCGAGATATTTGGAATCGAAATTATCAATACCTGTCATCATTGACATAAATTAAACATGTTGACTAAATACGGGGCATGTTTTTTAAGTAAGTACCGTTTTGGAATTTAAAAAAACGTGCAAAGATATCGCAATAATTTTATTTTTACATGAAAGCCTGTACCTTAATCTACTTTTCTACATAATTTCCGTGAATATTGAGGCACTTGTCATAACGTGGCACCAGTTTTTCAATACCCTCCTCATAAAATTCTGCCGCCTGACTAGTTAACCACTGTAACACAACAGTTTTGACTTCGTTATCGTCTTGAAGACGCTGACCGCCCAGGTGTTTCTTCAAGTGCAAGAATAAATGGTAGTCACTGGGCGCCAGATCAGAGCTGTATGGAGGATGATCTAGAGTTTCCCATTTAAAAGATTTGATGAGATCTTTGGTCCGATTAGCCACATGTGGACGGGCATTGTCATGCAGCAAAACAATACCCTTACTCAACTTGCCACGTCTTTTGTTTTGGACTGCACGGCGCAGATTGTTCAATGTCTCACAATAAGATGCTGCATTGATTGTCTCATTACGAGGCAGAAACTCCACTAGTAATACTCCTTTTCTGTCCCAAAAAACTGTGCACATGATTTTCCGGGCAGACATTGTTTGCTTAAACTTCACTGTTTTGGGTGATGATGAATGTCGCCATTCCATGGACTGTTGTTTCGATTCTGGTGTGACGTAGGCCACCCATGTTTCGTCACCAGTAACAATTTTGTCTAAAAAATCTTCACCTTCATTGTGGTACTGCTCAAGGAAGTCAATGCACTGCCTAAACGTTGGGTTTTGTGCAAATCCATCAACATTTTCGGAACCCAACGTGAACACAATTTCCGGTAATTCAAGTTCTCGGTCACAATGCGATACAAAACACTACGAGAACATTGAGGAAAGTAGTCGCACAATGATGAAATTGTAAAGCGTCTGTTTTCTTTCACCTCTTTGTCCACTTTCTGCACCGAATCTTCATTAACGACCGAAGGACGCCCACTCCGTTCTTCATCATGCACATTTGTGCGGCCATCTTTAAATGCTCTCACCCTTTTCCTTACCATTCCATCACTCATAATGGTTTGTCCGTAAACTTCACAGATCTCACGATGAATATCGATCGGTTTTACGCCTTTAGCACTAAGAAATCGTATGACAGCCCGTACTTCACAATCGGCGGGGCTCACGATTGTCGGAGGCATCTTAAACACTCAATAAACAACGTATACAATGAAGAATCAGACTGTACTGGCGTCTGTGCGTAGACAAGAGATGTAGGTAACCAGCGCGCATGCGCGGAACGCCGACCGTAGCGCTGCGGCGGCGGAATCGCAAAACGGTACTTACTTAAAAAAACATGCCTCGTAATAATTAGACTGAAATCATAAATTTGAAATCTTTTTGTGTCAAAAGTTCAAAAGAAATTGTTTAATCATCATTTTTTCGCAGAAAAACTTATGATTAATTTAAAAAAATAAAAAATTATTTCAGTCAAATAACTATGCTCAACTTGTGCTTATTTTTTGTCAATAATGACATGTATTGACTATTTCCATTCTAAATATCTTGAGGACGGTTGCTCGTAGCGATTTTTGCCAAGAGACATTTTTTACATAAAAAGTCATGGAAATGTATATTTTTTTAGTCAGTGGTTTTATACAGGTACGGTCGAAAAGTTATTACTCTTCAAAACAGTTAAAACACATGTAGGTGGCGCCCCCTACAAATAGGAGTAATTTTGACATCAAAATCAAATTTCTCGTGTCACAATACTTCTAGATACCAATTTTCATCCAAATATTGACGTTACTTCAGAAATTATTTGGAAAAAATCGAAATAAAAATGAAACTTCTACACCCTGTATCTCCGAAACTAAGCATTTTAGGACATACATTTATACGAACTTTTTTACTTATTTTTATCTGCAGAATATGCTGTCGAAGTTTCCGGAATACAATTCGAACCACCCTGTATATAAAGGAAATATATATTATATTTCAGAAATCTGCCTAAGGCTTAGCCCGATCCTGTCGTGTTAAGCCACACCCAAAATTCCATACACACGTGCTTTGATTAAGGTTTGCAGAGCTTCAGCATTTGCCATAAAATAGCTAGCAATTTGTTACAAAACCATATAAATTATATATCACTGTAATCACAAAATTTCAATCTATTTTCGTATTGTCACGGAATTTTAAATTATGTCTTTATTTTAGAGAAAATTTAGTCCAAACATAAGGAATATTTTGTTGATGTTTGACCATCAAAATCTTAAAAATAAAGAAGTTGTCTAAGAATGTGCTGCAAAACGGATATAGTATAATCCTTTATCTTTGATTTCCTTCTTCATTTGTGTAAAAATACCTAGCCAGTTTTACATAAAACGTTAAATGCTGAACGCTTATTTTGTTACTTTTGGGACTAGTGAAATGGACTCTTAAGTTATTTTGCCGACTTAACTCGCAGGGCCGGACTTAAGTGTGCGAACACAGTGCAAGCAGGTTTGCCGCTTACTGGTAGTCAGCACCAATCTGGGCACCTATTCTTGACATCGTTCGCAACTTTGCGTATACGCATCACGTGTATTGTTATAAACAGGGTATCCCACAAATAAGTGCAAGTATTTTAAAGGGTGGTAGATCTCGATAAAAGAAACATATTTTCTCTTTATCGTTTTTCAAATAAGTCCAAAATAATGGAGTTATTTTACTTTGAAAATTTCCAAAAAAAAATATTTTTTGCTAAAATTTTGAGAACCTTCTTCTTCATGTGCCTTCTCCTCATCGGAGGTTGGCGACCATCAATTGGAATTCCTCCCTGTCTTGAGCCAAACGGATAATAGCACTGGCCTCTCCTATATTAAACCACTGGCGCAAATTCTGCAACCAGGAAAACCGTTTACGCCCGATGCCTCGTCACGATCAGCTGTAGGAAACTATATTTGTTATTTCGAAAAATATGACCAAAATATGCTGCTTTCCGTCGTTTTATTGTAGACAATAGTTCTTAGTCCTTACACATTCTTTCCAATACTTCGAGATTTGTTTGAGAACCACTGGATCTTTTCTGGATTTTCTTTCTTGTAAATTTAATCTACTACCTATGTTGCCATATTATCAAGAAACTATTTTTTTTAAATAAAAACTAAAAAAAATTGCAAAAAAATTCCAAAAATATTTTCAAAAAATTCCGAATTTGTAAAAAAAATTATTTAGAAAAAAACCTCATAGGCGTGTTTCTGGGGTTGAACTATACTACCAGTTAAGTTAAAATACTTGCACTTATTTCTGGGACACCCTGTATATGGTTACATAGTAGCGCCGCGCCGCGCCGCCTCGCGCTTATAACCTTGAAAAATTAAAGCGTGTTATCAAATCGGCTAGTTCACAGTGAAAGCAGGCAGGCACCGTCAACCAGCGTTCATCGGCGTTCTCGCTTTTACCGGAACGAAAATTTATTTATTTCTGCTTTTGCACGCGCCGACGGCGCACAGGGGGTATTAAGAACTAAAAGTTGGCCAAAATTATGTTTTATGATTTTTTTGCTTTTTTGCTAGTAATATTAATTATTAATTAGAGGAGAGGTTGCTAATATGGAACCCCATTTTGTTTTTCCTACACAATATTTTTTCCTCTACTCTGAAACCCTTTCCACCGATCAAATAGGGCCATTCTGTGCAAAACCAAGCAATTGGATGAGGATGCTAGAACAAGAAAGTAATTTGTATATTATAGACGATATTTGAGCGAGGATGGGTGTTAATAGGGTAAAGACTATTTCCTTTAAGAATCTATTTAAATCAATGTTTTTTTTGGCAGTGGCAAATATTGGCAAGATTTTTGTGCATATTCCAATGCTGGAGACTTTAAGCATTGAACGGATACTAATTTCCATGCGGAATATTGCCGAATAGTCTTACACCTTATAAAAATGCCACTGATTTTTTAAATATAAAACATTATAAAAAAAATAGAATAGAAGGAAACGTTTCAAAATAAAAATATGGCATAAAACAGAATAGAGCAAACAAACAAAGCTGGCTCTGTATCCATCATGACAGTTATTATGAACAATTTGCAGAAAAAGCACTACAAACAATTCCACTATTTTTATAATCTTAGAAATATTCAGAATACACTCAAGATAATTCATACTTTTAACTGAAATATATTATTTATTTGACAGTCAACTTACGACTTAAAAAAACTAATAACTAATAAACGTGCTTACATTTAGTATTTATAGATTTGTATTCAGTTAAGATAAAAAATGAAAATAAAAAAATATCACTTTTGGCCAGGTTTATAGACCAAATACACCTATGTGTGGCCCCGGCAAGGCGGGCGCGGCGTTTGAATATGGTTTGGTTAGGTTAGGTTAGTTAATCAAGTAAATTTCCTCTTAATTATCTACTTCCGAATCCTTCTCGCATCTCCGAAATAGCCATATACAATACACGTGATGCATATACGCAAAGTTACGCATCTGTGTATTGTTATATGGCTTTTTAGGAGATGCGAGATGCGAGCGATATTTGAAGATGCGAGTGGTCAAGAATAGGTCCCCAGAGACGGCGCTGGTTGCCGGAAAGCAGAAACCTGCCTCCACTATGTTCGTACCCTTACGAAGTTACCGCCCCAGGCCAAAAAAGAATTAACATTTTTAAGGGCCCCTTAACATTTTTTTTAATTAAAAAAATTACGGATATAAAAAACATTTATTTGAGTACAGGACCAACAACAGAATAGACCGACAGAACAGATCAACACAGAACATAAAATAAATATTAAAATATTCATATTAAATGACAACAAACGAACAACAAAGCTATAAGGTTTGCTTATATGCCTATAAAGGTTTCCTACGTACTTTTTTGTTCGCAAAGTTATCAATTACTTCATCGTAATTGATAGTTTTTAAAAGGTCGGACTCATTATGTAAAACTGCCGAATGATTTAGATGTTCTGTAACAGTTAGTAATAAAAGTACATGTGAAGATTCTTAATGCTATGAAAGTATTTGGAAACAGGTCTTGAGCGTTTTTTTCATAAATTACTTTAAAAAGCTCTCTAGCAGATGGTTTTGCTGACTTAATGCATTTTATAAATTCACGAAAATGTATTAATTCATTAGGCATTGACTCATCTAAATCATTTGGATAACAGGTTATTAAATGTCTGGACTTATCGGTAATGTCGTCAATACTTAAAGTAGATAAATCACTAAAGAAACCAAATTTGGTTGAAAGGTCATTGTAGGCACTTTTCCTATAGGAAATTTCAAGGATTAATTTATCAATAATAACATTAAATACATTTATCATTTATCCTAAAATCGTCCCTAGTGTTAAATAGAGTTTCATTATCACTGGTTTCATCAAATTGTCGTTTCCGTTTCACTTTTCTCTTTTTATCTGCCGCATGTTCTTTCTCACCGATCAATTCTATGGCCCTTCTTTCATATTCCTCAAATGATTTCGTATTATCTAGATTTCTAATTTCAGAAAAATATTTTTCCAAGCTATATAAATCTGCATCAAGTTGTAGATCAATATCCACCATTTGAAGCTTTTTATTGACCGCATCTAATCTATTTAAAACGTCTGTCCAAAATACCGCCATAAAACCCATTTCTAGGCTTTTGAATTGTTTAAGGAGACTAGAAGCATCTAATCGGGTTTTAGAATTTTCGGTATCATCTTCAGAAATTAACTCCAACGCGGATTTTATTTCATTGGAAGACAAAGAGAGTGATTGGCAAGCTTCATTTCGTGCAGACCAACGTGTTTTCGATAAATTTTTTAATGTTTTTGAATTTATTTTTTTATATTCGAGGTATTTATTTATTTATTAACTAGATGCATGGCACAATGCAGTAAAAAATAACCCAAACGAATTATATACAGGGTGAGTTTCCTACGATGTTCTCTATGGGCATCTCGGAAACTACTGGAGATAGAGAGTCGGTTAAATGAGGAAATAATTGCAGTTTTGTGGGTCATAAATATGCGCCTTTCAGATTTTTGAAAAAGTTCACGGCTTACTAGATATTTCGAAAAAAACAAATTTTGGCTATTTTAAAAATTGTCCCTAATTCCATTACAATCTATTTTAGACAAAAAGTGTTCAGATAAAAGTTGTAGATAATCACAATCCTAATGAGTTTGTGTTCTCCGATTTTTCATAAAACCTGTCATTTTTGACATATGACACAAACATATGTTTTTTTAAATGGAAACCATAGTTGGCTATGACTTCATAAAAAGCGCCATTTTTTAAGCTTTTCAGCAATATGAGCTATAATATGTTTCTTTCACAAAATTACTGAGTTATAGCCAATTCTTATCTTTCTTGACTAATTTCACTTAGTTATCCATGGAAACAAGTTCAATCGTCGTTGCTCTCAGAAATGTGAAATTGTCACATCCAATCTTTGTAAATTAACATAAACAAAAATTGTAAATAAGAGTTTTTTAAATGAAGAACAGCGTGTAGAATTATTGGTTCAACTTTTCTTGGCCATACAGTTTCGAGGATACGTTGACCGGTGAACGTTACGTTTTTTAGAAAACGGTTTTGAAAGACATGTTAGAAAAGTTAAATTTAGATACTCGCGCATTAATACAGTGGTTCCAACATGACTTATGTTGGAACTCTCTTACATGACTTCATTATGACGCACCAACACCCCCCCACAATGAAAGAAATGTTATTTAAAAAATAATTTATATCATAATTATGTACACTCAGGGAGGTGGACCAATTGCATGGGTCTCCTCGGTCACCTGACCTATCCATTTTAGATTTTTTTTATGCGGTATGGTTAACAACAAGGTTTACAAAAAAACTTATGAATTAAGAGAGGCACTCGAAGAGGCGGAACAGGAGAAGTTTAATTAAGTCGACCGGTCGTTCTGTGACAATAGCTAGAAATTCAGTTTTAAAAAGATGCATTTATGTTCTTAAAATAATTGCGGATTTTTTGAACATTTTCTAAAATAACTTAAAGTGTACGTAGTGATATTATCTTTTTGAGTTTTAGTTTGTGTAATCTAAATTGTAAAGAGCCGTTTAATAACATATTTTGTCTTTTTATAAGTTATAAATCACAACAAAATTTGAACACCATTGAAAACCGTTCTCTAAAAAACGTAAGTAACTTTCACCGGTCAACGTATCCTGTATGGCCAAGAAAAGTTGAACCAATAATCCTACACGCTTTTCTTCAATTGAAAAAATTTTATTTACAATTTTTATTTATTTTAATTTACAAAGATTGGATGTGACACAATTTCACATTTCTGAGAGCAACGACGATTGAACTTGTTTCCGTGGCTAACTAAGTGAAATTAGTCAAGAAAGATAAGAATTGGGTATAACTCAGTAATTTTGTGAACGAAACATATTATAGCTTATATTGCTGAATATCTTAAAAAATGGCGCTTTTTATGAAGTCATAGCCAACTATGGTTTCCATTTAAAAAACATATGTTTGTGTCATATGACAAAAATGACAGGTTTTATGAAAAATCGGAGAACACAAACTCATTAGGAATGTGATTATCTACAACTTTTATCTGAACACTTTTTGTCTAAAATAGATTGTAATGGAATTAGGGACAATTTTTAAAATAGCCAAAATTTGTTTTTTTCGAAATATCTAGTAAGCCATGAACTTTTTCAAAAATCTGAAAGGCGCATATTTATAACCCCACAAAACTGCAATTCTTTCCCCATTTAACCGACTCTCTATCTCCAGTAGTTTCCGAGATGCCCATAGAGAACATCATAGGAAACTCACCCTGTATTTAAACAATAATAATAATTAAGTAAATAAATATGTAATCGGCTAAGGCTATATTCGAAATATTTTATGAACAAATAAAAGTAAAAAAAAAGATAAATATTTTGGTATGCTCAAAATTTGCCGCCCCTAAAAATCTGCCGCCCCAGGCCCGGGCCTAGTTGGCCTAGGCCTAAGTCCGGCACTGTTAACTCGCAGATCATTGTGATTTAAACCAAAACTATAGACTAAAGTCATAGAAACGACATAAATTTAGTTTTTGAAACTGACGCGTTGCAGTTCTGCCCGGTAGCAACGAAATCGCGCAAATTATTATTTCATTGCTTTTTGTTACCATTTTTTACACTTTTGTACAATATATAGTTCTTGAAAACTCACTTTTGTCATTTTATTTATTTATTCTAGTTAGGTATTTTTTGTTTGAAATAAATTCCCTTAAATCTGATATTTATTATTTTTAGGAGTACAAAGGAAGATTCTTCAAATCCGTCAGTTAAGCTTCTTCAATCTTTATACTGTAACAAGTGCGGTGCTTCGTTCCAGAATCTTGAATTATTATACAGTCATATCATCAACCCCGGTAGCAGCGATCATACTTTTCGATGCGCTTCTTGCAACTGCAATGTTGGAAACACCATAATTAATCTTACGGACCACATTCGCAAACATTGCGACGAAGAAGTTGTTGCGGAAAAAGAAAGGACTATTGCAGAAAGTCAGTCCACCAAACCAAGATATTTTTGTGAGAAATGCGGAAAGGCATTTTTTGTTTTTCAAGATCTATTCAAGCACGCGTCAGTTCATGTCGATGATTTAATTTGTTGTACGCAATGTTCCGTTAAAAACTCTAGTTTAAGACAGATCATATTGCACTTTCGGCAGCATTGTGTCACGTATGACAATAAAACACCAAATAAATTACCGATTATTACAGATAAAACGAGCGAAGAAACTGTGGCAAATACAAACAAACCAAAAAGTAAAACTATTTTGCAGAATGATAGTAGTATTGAAAATTCTAACTCCGACAACATAATAAAAAGTAAACAAATTATATTTTGTGAGTTTTGTCGGCTTAATTTTTTCTGTTTTTTGCGTTATTTCAATCATAGATCTTTAGTCCACAGTCAAGACTTGATTTATTGCAAAAGTGATTGCGGGGAAAAGTTTACTGGCATGTTCTTTTGGCGGGAGCATTATAAATCTAGACACACATATAATGAATTGAGAAAAGACATAAAAAACTGTAAAATGAACAAAAATGATAGAATCACTATTTACTGCGAGGTATGTGGCGAAGGATTTGCAAACGCTTATAACAGACAACTTCACATAATTAGTTTACACGATAATAGGTATTTAATTTGCGCTGTCTGTCAACATCCATACTCTAACAACTATGCGTTTGCAGCTCATTTGTCAACCCGACATCGGATTTTTAATAAACAAACTTTTAAATGTTTTGAGTGTACTAAACCAATATATTTTTTGCATGTGTATCTATATCACGTTGGAACTCATAAGTATAATGCTGAAAGTAAACATTACCCTCGTTGTAGAATTTGTAAAGTAAAAATCCGTTCACAAATTGCACATGTAAGGCATATGAATAAACATATGTCATTCGCATATTTTTATTGTTTTTTCTGTAATAACAGTTATAAATTTAGTGAAGAACTTCAGCTGCATATGAAATCTAAACATGGGTCTTTATATTCTGATTATAACAGGTTTTTGTCAATTCCCTGCAACAAAAACCGATATGAGTGTCCAATATGTAAAGAAAGTATTCCAGAAATGTACATTTACCAACACTGGCGACTGGGGCATCCGGAGTCCGTTTCTAAAAAAAAAGCTATACTAGATGATTTTGCTAAAAGTAGTTTTTGCAAATCGTATAAGGAATTACAAAAAGTATCAGGTGCTATTGGCAGTCAACTCCTTACCGGAGCATATCTCATAAAAGAGACAAATTTAGAGGTTAGCCAAATATTGGGAACGACTTCTAATATTGGTGGTAGCGATACAAAAAGTGACAAATCTGATAACTCAACCATATTACCGGCTTCTGCCGATGAAGTTCACAAATCAGATGAAGATTCTACTGAAAGTAATTTAGATTCATCGGTTCCGTCTCTTACAGAAACCAAAACACTAAATAAAGAGTCCGTTTCTAGTGAAATCAAGGTAGATTCGAATTTGTCACTCAATTCTACTGATTCAAGTAAGCTTCAAGAAAATACAGACATATCCTCTTCTAAAGTTAACGAAGGCAATATGGCACTTAACCAAGGTATTTCAAATAATGAACATAATAAGCAGAAAACTACTTTAAACCTTGAAACTACTTCAAAATTGACTTTAAATAATCAGTCAAAAAATACCGATTCAAAAACTAGCTCAAATTTATCCATAAGTCAGACAAAAGAATGTTCTAGTAAATCAAATAGTAAAGAAACTGAAACTGAATCCTCAAATAATGAACATAATAAGCAGAAAACTAATTTAAACCTTGAAACTACTTCAAAATTGACTTTAAATAATCAGTCAAAAAATACCGATTCAAAAACTAAGGAGTTATCTATAAGTCAGACTAAAGAATACTCTAGTAACTCAAATAGTAAAGAAACTCAAGCTAAATCTAAGCCTACATTGAATGTTTTACCCTTAACCGATACTTCTAAATCAAGTTCGAAAGAGAATAAAACAAAGTCTTTGAAAAAGCAAGAATTATCCCAACCCTTAAGTGCAACTTTTAGTTCCGCAGCTTTACCACGAAATATACCTACTTTTCCTGTACCTGAGCCTCCTGCAAATACGTATTACTACCCATCCCAAGAAAATGTTAATTCTTATGGATATAATGCCACAAGCAATATACAGTATCAGAATTATTATCACCAATCTAGTTATGGTAACCAAAATGAGCTGTGGCAATCAACAATGGCTGCTCAACCTGTTTGGCAAGGAAGTATAATTGCTGAGACATATGTTCAGCAACCAACAGAGTATTTTCATCTGAATCAACAACCGATAATGCCTTCTCAGCCAGTAAATTTTTCTCAGCAGCCAATAATACCCCCCCAAAAAATTAATTACGAATGTAAAGGATGCAAAAAGGTATTTCCTAGTTTACCGCTATTAGAAATCCATTTCCTATTTTGTGGTGAAATGGAATTAGAAGTGCTAGAAGCTCCTAGAGACGACTGCCCCGCTTGTGGGTTTATATATTCTGATTTCTCCAACCTTAAATCTCATATTTTTAATACTCATAACGATTTCTTTAAAGAGTTTGACTTGATTTCGAAAATTTCTAATTATATATGTGTTACATGCGGATTCCTGTTTGATAGCATGCAAAACTTAGAAATACATAGACGGGAGCACAATGTCTCTCGAAGGACAGACAAAACATTTAGAGATAATATAACGATAAAGATAAAAAATAATTACCTGTCAAATACGGCTTCAAAATCTGAGACATCTAGTTCAATAAATAAGGAGGAAAAAGAAAGTCCTGCACAAGCCAAATATTCGGACAAACCCGTAGAACCTTCATATAGGTGTGATCAATGTGCAGCATTATTTAAGAGTTATAAAGACTATATCAAACATAAAATTAGCCATGATGATTCGGGCGAACAAGAAGAAAATGCGGAAAATGAAAGTCCTATGCATGTTCAATATTCAGACAAATCCACTGGACCTTCATATAGGTGTGATCAATGTGCAAAATTATTTAAGAGTTATAAAGAATATATCAAACATAAAATTAGCCATGATAATTCGGGCGAACAAGTAGAAAATGAGGAAAAAGAAAGTCCTACGCATGTTCAATATTCAGACAGATCCATTGGACCTTCATATAGGTGTGATCAATGTTCAAAGTTATTTAAAAGTTATAAAGAATATATCAAACATAAAATTAGCCATGATGATTCGGGCGAACAAGTAGAAAATGAGGAAAAAGAAAGTCCTACGCATGTTCAATATTCAGCCAAATCCATTGGACCTTCATATAGGTGTGATCAGTGTTCAAAGTTATTTAAGAGTTATAAAGAATATATCAAACATAAAATTAGCCATGATGATTCGGGCGAACTAGAAGACAATGACGAAAAAGAAAGTCCTCTACAGGCCCAATATTTAGACAAATCCATTGAACCTTCATATAGGTGTGATCAATGTGCAATATTATTTAAGAGTTATAAAGAATATATCAAACACAAAATTAGCCATGATGATTTGAGCGATAAAGAAGAAAATTATCTGTCTAATTTGATAGACCCATCTTCGGTTAATTTAGACTTGCCGTCGTCAGCTAATTTAGGGTTTTTAAAAGAGGACGAATCAAAGAAGAGACGAAAACTGCATAATTCGGATTTAGAAAACATTAAGAAAAGAAAATTTTGCTGTCAAATTTGCGAGCAAGACTTTTGTAATCCATCAAGTCTTGGCGAGCATGATTGTCCCGGTCCGTTCTGATTCCTATTGTATGTTAAGCATTGTGTTGTAAATTGCGCGGAAATATATTTTTGGAAATATTTACCGAAACGAAATGTGGAAACATTGCAAAAACATGAATGGCTAAAAAAATAAGAAAAAAACTAAATAATTATTTAAAAATAACATAACTAAAAACAGAACGCTTATACATGAATACGAATAAAGATTTAAACATTAAAAAAATACAAATAGAAAGATCAATAACAAATGCAAATAAATCGGTGAATCGTCGAAGTCCAGTTACTCAGTTTGTGAAAATGCTATTTTTAATTTAATGCTGACTGGTTTACGCAATACCTACAGGGCGTTTGAAAAAACATTTATCATCTCTCGTGGGGATATTTTTCACTTAAAATAAGGTTTATTTTTCATATTAACATAGGTCCGATTCTGCTTTTTTTGTAGCTACAGGATGTTAAAATCTTACTAAGTTACTATAAGTGCTACATATTTTAATGCTAAAAAGTGTCGATAAATTCATCAGGGACGTGCATATGGGACGGGTTATCACTGGAATATGTTTCTACAAAAAGCATATACGCTACTGATTTTGTTAGCGAAATAGTGTAAAAGCAGTTTAATGCCCTTTAAAAGTCGTTTCTTGATATTTTGTCGATTTCGGACTCCTTAATGAGATAAATGCAATTTTATTAATTTGCCTACTTGATCCAAGTCTAATAACAATCTTTAAAAAAATTTAATATCATTAACTTGCGAAAGTTTTAAATAAGTACTCATTGATTCCTCATCAAAAAATATAGAAAAAGTTCCTATAAACATGGGTATAGTTTTAGAATTACAGGATGTTAAAACTTTTTAAAATTAGGTTTTTTGTAATTATCTTAAATACCAATATTTTTAATTTGAAATTGCTGTAGGTTGGACTAATAGTAATGATATTTAATAATAAATTAGGTAAAATATATGATTTATTAATTTTATTTTTAATTGTAATTAATAAAATTAAGTTTAACTCATCAAAGAGGCGCAATTCGACAAAATATCAAGAGATAACTTTTAATTAGCACTAAACGGCATTAAAATTTTGATACCAAAAGGGAAAAAAGTCAGTGGTGCACATATTCCAGTGATAACCCATGTGCACGTCCCTGAAAATTTCATTCGCATCACTAAAACTACTTGGAAGAAAATTATAATAAATCGAAATATTGTTAAGACCTTAACACCCTGTAGCTACGAAACAAAGCAGAATCAGACCCTATGTTGATATGAAAAAGAAATCCTATTTTTACTTGAGAAATCTGCCCACGAGAGATGGCACATGTTTTTTGAAACACCCTGTATATTTTGAATAAATTTGAGATATTTCTAATTTGCCAGACAAGTATGAGAATTTCCAATATTTCCTTTTCATTAAAATATTTCCAACGTATATATTTCCACTTCCAACAATAGTTGGACATATACCGGGTGGCAACGAAATTTTATCGACTATAATAGATACGATACCCTGTCGGCAAGCGAAATTTTGGGTCTCTCTTTACCTGTCTATGGCGATCTAGTAAGTCGGAGAGAGAAAAATGCGAAATTACATAACCACTTAATCTGATGCTAGATTTCATGCGCTTGGAAAAATAAAGGCTCTTTTTTTTTCTTTATTCAGTACATCTTATTGCACGGAGTATGGTTTCCGGACCGGGAACTGTTTTTTCGAAACCTATATTTTCGTAGTTAAACCCACTTGTACAAAGTGTCTCAAACAGGTGTAAGTATAGGCGGGGATGATTTTTTATCGAATACCCTGTATATACTGCATTTTCGGTTCCTTCTTGATCAGTTTTCGCAATCCTAAGTTATTAAAAATAAATAAAAATATTTAGCAGGATTAACAAAATAAAAATATAAAAAATTAAAAAAATGCCCTACTTAAATCAAAATTGCTAGGTTATGGAAATATACTAGGCAATCGAAATCTTCTAAATTAAATATCTCGGAAACTATGCATTTTTGAAACACACTTTAAATGGGGCGAATATAGGGCTCCACTAGCTCTATCCGTAGAAGTTTTAATGGTCCTTTAAGTACTTACCGTTTTTTTTTTCAAAATCTAACCTGAATTTTAAAAAAAATGGCTGCTGTTTTTGTCAGCGGGGTCAGAGTTCAAGGTGCTGCGGGTCAAATTACTTCTACAGATATACAAAGTTCACATACCAAAGGATTTGCTTTCTGCATTATTCGTCAGATTTTTTGCGTACCGGTTAGACTTATTAGACTTATCAGCCATCGGCCCACACACCCACGAATAGTACAGTGTAATAGACTCTTAATATGATTATAATGTGCTTTATTTTACACCTTGAATAGTACATTTCCAACCATTAATGTTATTTAAAAAAAGGTATCCATAGAAAAATAAGTTCATTTTAATACAAACAAAATACTTTGATGGTTTGGTAGTTATTAAAAAAATAATTGTAATGCATGGACACCTATTCCTATTACTAAGCTAGAGCGCATTTGAGGTTAAATTTAAATGAATGCTTTGTATAATAAAAACAATATTGAATTTAATTTTGGGATCCAAAAAACGGCCAAAGCCATTAGAAATGTTTATGAATGAAATTTTTTATGTAATAGTTTCTAGCCTCATTGATTGTCAAGTTGTTCTATGAAAATAGTGCAGTGGTTTCTTTTATTATTTTTTCTTTGTTTTTTTTTCTATCTTATGTTTTAAATCGGTATGTTATTTTTCCATATGTATATGTTCTTTGAAATAAAATATAATTTTTATAAAATATGTTTTTATTATAAACCTTACGATTTTTTTGTGGTGACGGTTTTTGTCAACCTAACCAAGACCATACATAAGAAAAAAATATTTTTTAAATATAATAAACAGAAAACTGTACTATTTAAAATCAATTTGAATCATAGGATATTAAAAAAATCTTAAAGGTTTCTCTTAAAACAAATATAAATTTGTGATTTCTAATTGACATAGATACAAAATGTAACACACATTTTCAAGGTGCTAGGCATAATATGCTAAATTTGAAAGAACTGATATACTGGGTGCGTCTAAAAAGTGGCTCACCCCTATAACTTTTTTATTTCTTCAAATAAAAAACCGTCATTTGGTATTTGGTATGTTAGTATAGGACATAAATTAGGATTAACTTCCTGTTTCACCGGAAATAACTACTTTTCTATAATATATTTATAATAATTATAAATCTTTTGACTTTTAAATGGCACACTTGGTATATTTCTACTTTATTAGATAGGAAATGACACTCTGAAAATGACATATCATATGTCAACTTTTGACATTTTCACATATGGTTTATTTGAAATTGTAACATGCGGTTAATCACGACAATTTGACTAGAAATGCCATGTGTGTGGTATGAAATTATTCGTAAAAAGATGATTTTTCCAAATATGCTAACGAGCCAACCTTTTTCCATTTGAAAAAATTGAGATATGATTAAAAATATTATTTTGGCATCTTTGATTCGGCCAGGACAAGACACGAAAAAGCATAAGACGATCAAATCTATTTTTCCAAGGCTCTTAATGTTTTTAACATAGCCATGGCACTCTAGAATAAAATTTAAAATACGATTTTTTATTAAGCGAGAATATCAAAAGTTGCCATACGATATGTCATTCTGTTCAGAATGTCATTTTCTATCGAATAAAGTAAAAAAAAATACCGAGTGTGCCATTTATAAATCAAAAGTTGTAGTCATTTTTGGTTTGGTTTATAAATGAATACATCAATCAATCCTAATTTATGTCATATACTAACATACCAAATCTCGTTTTTTTTTAATAAAAAATTATAGGGGTGAGCCACTTTTTTTTTGGTTTTCACATTGTTTCACATTTTTTTCACAACCACGCTAACCAACCCGCCCAACGCTCGATATGAAGAGGAGTTCGGCTCAAGTTGTCTTGCGATAGTGTACGCTCGTTACGAAAAGGCCACCCGGTATATCGAACGTCCGTTTATTTTCTGCTTTACACAACTTTGACTTTTAGGATAGTTATATCCTTTGATTAAACATACTAAAAGGTACAATCCTGGGTACAATATATATAATTGTTTTAAACAATATATATTTATATATTGTTTTATATATTGTTTTCGGTGCTTGTGCAATTTTTTTCTTAAATAATTTTCTATGGGCATCCTAATAATATGTATATCGATTTTCATTAAAAAAGGAGAACTTAAAAAAAACGACAGCTGTCAAATTTGACAGTTCAAATGTGAGACAAATAAAATGAAAACCGACTATGGGGTAGGGGGCATCCAATGTATCGATTTTTATCAAAATCGGACAAATTTGAAATTTTTTTGACAGCTGTCAAGTTTGACAGCTCAAAATTTTTTTCCTTCATTTTAGCCCATAGCCATCATCGATTTTTGTCCAAATCGGACAACTTTCAAATTTTTTTGACAGCTGTCAAATTTGACAGCTCGAAATGTATTTCTTTCATTTTCGCCCATGGCCGTCCTATATATCAATTTTTATCAAAATCGGACAACTTTGAAATTTTTTTGACAGCTGTCAAATTTGACAGCTCAAAATTTTTTTCTTTCATTTTAGCCCATGGCCATCCTATATATCAATTTTTATCAAAATCGGACAACTTTGAAATTTTTTTGACAGCTGTCAAATTTGACAGCTCAAAATTTTTTTCTTTCATTTTAGCCCATGGCCATCCTATATATCAATTTTTATGAAAATCGGTTGACTTTGAAATTTTGACATGTCATTAAACTGTCATTTTTTCAAGATGGCCGTCCATATATTTTTTTCATATGTATATACCCACAATATACCTATATATATACCGTATGATCGAATAAAAACGGCGTCCAGTTGGCTTGGAAATGACGATCGATGGCATTTCCTATATAAATTTACATATAAAATTACAGCGATCTTCATTTCATAGCCATCGCTGACGCCGTTTTTATTCGATCATACGGTGTATATATATATATATATATATATATATATATATATATATATATATATATATATATATATATATATATATATATATATATATATATATATATATATATATATATATATATATATATATATATATATATATATATATATATATATAATTATATATATATATATATATATATATATATATATATATATATATATATATATATATATATATATATATAATATATATATATATATATATATAGAAGTGGTTCTAATTTAGCTTACAAGATTTGCCCTGCAAAAACATACATACATACATAGATAGTTACATACAAAGCTTATAAAAATAGCATCCAATGAGGACACTAAATAAAAAAATGGTCACTTGGCATTAGCAAGCCTCCAAATAAGTGGTCTTTATCGTTTTGAAAAGCTCTAAAGTGT